CCCTGACCCACCTGGGCTGAGGGTGTCCTGTGAGCTCTGGCCAGTTCCCTCCCCACCCCAGCAACGCAGCCGCCTTCACCTCTACCATGAGCTGCCTGGTGAAAGGTGTGTCAGGTGCAAACAGCAGTTTCCCCAGGAGCAGTGGCTTCACCTGCCTCCAGAGCAGGCGGGACAGTGGGTGGTCCCCCAGGGTTCCAATCAGCTCAGAGCAGGCGGGGCCTGGGGTGGGGGAGCCATGAGGCCCCGCCCCCATGTCCCCCAACCCGACTTCCCAGATTGGGAAACGGAGGTCAGTCACTCACTCAGGCTGTTGTCGGGCAGGGCTGATGCTGGCTCCGACCCCACCAACTCCTGAAGGTCACTAGCCTCGTACCAGTTGAGAGAGGGGCCCGCTAGGCTGCTGGGCCCCCTGGCACTGCAGAGGGCTTCTGACACTAACTCCAGGGGGCCACCTGTCCCTTGGGGTCTCCTCAGCAGTGTCCGAAGCTCCGCCAGGCTAGGCAGTGCCAGAAGCTAGAGAGAGGCCACCAGAGGGCGCGAGTGACCCCTCTGCACGATCCCACCTGCAACGCTTTTCTTGAGACAGTCTTGCTCTGTCGTCCAGGCTGGAGTGCAGTGGCATCATCATAGCTCACTGCAACCTCAGACTCCTGGGCTCAAGCCATCCTCCTGCCTCAGCCTCCCAAGTAGCTGGGACTACAGGTGCGCACCAGGACGCCCAGCTAATTTTTCTATTTTTAGTAGAGACTAATGTATCTATTTTTTAAAGTAGAGATGGGGTCTCACTGTAGCTCAGGCTGGTTTGGAACTCCTGAGCTCAAGAGATCCTCCCGCCACGGGCTCCCAGAGTGCTAGGATTACAGGTGTGAGCCACTGCGCCCGGCCCCACCTCCAATCCTTCACCTTAACCCAAGTGGGCACCCTGCCAGGAGCACCCTGAAAACCTGCCCAAGGGAAGTGCCCTGGGCTGCCCTATCACCACCCCACCCAGGCAGCCTGCCCTTATTGCTTCCTAGCGGGGTCAAGGATGGGTGGCACCTCTTACCTCCTGGGCCAGGTCCTCAGCTGCCTCCACAAAGCTGCCCAGGGATTCCTGGGCTTGGCTCAGCGCAGACCCCAGGGATTCCTGGGGAGAAAGAATGGGACAAAAGTGACAATGACCTTGATTGAGGGCTCACTAGGGGTCAAACACTCTGCCCAGTTCCCAGGTGGCTCATACAATCACTGCCTCCATTTTGCAAACAGGAAAACCGAGGCTCTGAGAGGCACACGGACTCGTTCAAGGTCTCGCGGACTGGAGTCTTCATTACCAGGCCAGACACAGGCTGTCTGGGCACAGACAGGTGCCATAGGCAGCCCAAGCAAAACCTTAGAGGCTGGAGTCAGAGGCCAAGGTAGGGGAAGGCAGCTGGCCCAGCATGGGGCAGTGCTGCGACCTCCTGTGAGCAGCATCCCAGAGAGTCAGCCTGGTCCCACCCCTCCCCACCCCGCTCTGCCTCACCCCCTGCAGCAGCGACGCCAGCAGCTCAGTGGGCAGTGAAGGTTGCTCCTGCGGTCGGTCGCTCTGTCGAGGCTGGGCTGGGGGGTGAATGCAGAAAGGCACAAGGTTAAACACGCCCCCCACCTTAGCCTGAGACACCCCACCCCCTCCCTGTGCCCATTTCAAAGCTGGAGAGTCGAGGCTCAGAGCTCAGCCTTGCCAGGGGACCCCGCCCTGCTCACCTGCGCTGCGTGTGGTCCTCAGCGTGGACATCACCTTCCTCAGGCCAGCCAGTGTCCTGTGGGCACTTGGGCCCCCCAGCACAGTGCGGGCATCAGCTAGGAGCCGGGAGACCCTGGGGACAGAGGGAGGGCAGGAGGCGGGGTTCCAGGGGGCACTGTCACACCCCAAGCCTGCAGGCCTGCACCCACTGCCTCTGCTCACAGGGAGTCGTTGAAGTTGTTGAGGAGCCCGGCCTCCTCGCCGGGCGTTGGGTGTAGGAAGCAGGTGTTGTTCACATTGCAGATGAGGCCCTGGAGCCAGGGCACGGTGCCCGCAGATGGCAGAGGCTTGTTGGGGAAGTGGCCTGTGGAGAGAGGAGCCTCCACGGTCTGACCACCCCCCAAGGCTTGCACACCTCCAGCGACAGAGAGTTAGCTCACTCTCAACCAATGCCACGTACTGGGGGTCCCTGTGCACGGGCTGACCCATCCGCCTCCCCGCTAAGGGAGCTTACATTCATGGTACTCCAACGGGGGGTGGGAGTGGCGCACCGCCACCAGGATGAGGAAGAGAAAGAGAGGCCACAATAACTCGACCAGGAGCTGGAGCTATCGGGGAGAACAGGCGGGAGATGGTGGGGGACGGCGGTGGGGGGAGGTGCCGGCCGGCCCGGCCCACCCTGCCCTGGCATTACCGGCTGTCTCCGGCGATACGTGAAGTTCTTCCAGAGCAGCAACATCAGCTGTGTCCAGAAGGTCATGGTGGAACTGGACGGGGAACAGGGCAGAGAGGTCAGGACAGAGAGGCTGAGGACATGCTGTGAGGCTGAGGGCAACTGCCTGCCCCTCCCTGAACCTCATTCCTTTATCCCACCGTGCAGGGTTCCTGAGGCAGACAGGTGGGTGGAGTAAGCCAATGGGAGCCCTGCCCAAAGCCGCCCCTGCCAGGACTGCCTCCCTGCAGGCTGGGGTCTGGAAGGTCTGGAAGGCCGGCCTCTAATCCTCTGGGGGGTGGAGCCTTGGCTTAACACTTTGTCACTAAGCTCCACCCCAGCCCCACCTGGGGGCCTCTTCCAAGTCCTGGCCCCACAGCCTCATCCCTGACCCCCTCACTGTTCCCCAGACATAACAGCAACGAACATGTCACACGTCTGGCTGGAAGCGCTACACCATCACCCCCCCTTTACGGGAGTAGGGACTGAGGCCCAGGAAAGCAAGCCCGGGCTCCCAGAGAGACAGGAGGCCACCCGGCAGGAGGCAGGGCCCCAGCTCTGGCCACCCCTCTGTGTCACTGATCGCTCAGAAGGACCGCAAGACCCAGGACGAGCGGCAGGGATAGAAGCTCCTGGAACCAGCAATTCCTGATCTTGGATTTTCCTTGGCACAGATGGGGAAACTGAGGCTGCCAGAGGGGCAGGAAGTTGCTGAAGGTCATCCACCCAGGCCGGAACCAGGACCTAGGACCCCACCCCCCACGCCGGGTCTCTTTCCTTTACATCGGGTGGGATTTAGGATATGAGGGAACTGCCTCAGTTTCCCCATTTGTAAAATGGGGCGGGGGGCTTGGAGGGGTGCTAACGGGGAGAGGGGCTGCAGGTGTATGTTGGCAAAGGCCCCCCAATGGACCTAGGCGTCCGGTTCCTTGAGAATTAGCGTTCGGCTCAGCTGACCCCAACACTCACCCGGAGGAAGGGAAGGGCGGGTAAGAGTCTGGACCCCCTAATTCCCGGGAGCTCGCTTCCCTCCCAACCCCTACCCCTGCATTCCCGCGTCTGGGGCCTTCCTCCCTCTCTGGGTCCCTCTCACCGTTCCGGGACCCCGCCCAGCTCTTGCCGCCTTCCCTCCGCCGGACAGCAGCCAGGGAGCGCGGCCCCTTTAAGAGGAGCCCTGCGGCAGGCGCGGCGCCCCTCAGCTGCGGACAAGCCGCAGCTTCCTCGCGTCCCGGCCGCGCCCGGTCCCGGCCCCGCCCCTGCCAGCTGCTATTGGCTGCTATGCCCGCCACTCACCGGCCGGCCCCGCTGGAGCCGCGGGAGGAGGCGGGACCACAGTAGGGCCTCGAGGAGCCGGGTTTCTTAAAGGGAACGCCCGCCTCTTGCTGCATCACGGTGGGGTGATGGGGTGCCCGGCTGGTCCCTAGAGGACCCGGCTCCGGGCACGAGGTTAGGCCGTCCTTGAGGAACCAGGCCGTGTTCCTACTGCACAGCCGCCTGCAATACTGTTCCCCACTGTCCCTGGGGAAGCCTCGCTCTCAGACCCCGGGACTCTATTTGTCCACCCGTAGAATGGGAGTTCGACCAGAATCATCGTTCGTTCATTCGCCCCTCCACAAACATTCCTTGGTCCCCACGGCGGGCAAGGCGATGGCAGAGGGGGGAGGGGAATCCCAACATTCTAAGACTAGAACCTTGGGTCATAATGGCAACCCCACTAAGTGCCCGGGGACACTTAAGGGGATGGAAGTGAGGATAAAAGGAGAGCGTGTGGACCCACAGCTCTGACGGTGCTCGGAGAGCAAGACGTGTGGGGACGAAGGAGATGGGGCTTTGAGGATGAATAGAAGTTCACCAGGGAGAGAACTCCAGGCTGAGACAGGCACAAGCAAAGGCCTGGAGGTTTGATGGTGGAGCCAGAGCTGATTGGGACGGGGTGTGGGATGAGGCTGGGGACGCCCACTTCCTTTCTAACTGGTGGGAGCCCAGCCTCCTCCCTTAACCCTGGTCCTGGCCCCCGGAATCACTCCTTCAACCCAGACTCACGTTGGGCCTCAGCTTCTCCCTCTCCCAAGGCTGCTGTGTTCCTCCTTGCCCCCACCCCCTTATCCCGCAGGGTCCCAGAAAAGACCAAAGCAAAACAGCCCCTCCCCACCAAGGCTGAGTTCCACTGCAGCTCTCAGACACTTCTTTTCCTGAAAACAGAGGTTTTTATTGCTCTTGGTCCGCAGTCGGTATTTCACATTATCTCATGGTTCCGGGCCCCAGGTGGGGGTCCCCGTGCAGTATTGGCAGGCGGGACACAGGATAGAAAGGGGAGAAGGGAGCTGGGGGCTCTTTAAAACCTACCAAGGGCCGGGAGCAGCGGCTCAGGCCTGTAATCCTAGCAGGCTGGGAGGACCAGGCAGGTGCATCTACTAAAAATAGAAAAATTAGCCGGGCGGGTGCAGTGGCTGGCGCCTGTAGTCCTAGCTGCTCGGGAGGCTGAGGCAGGAGGATGGCTTGAGCCCAGGAGTTGGAGGCTGCAGTGAGCTACTATGATGCCACTGTGCTACACCCAGGGTGACAGTGAGACTCTGGCTCAAAAAAACAAAACAAACAAAAAAACCCTAATTAGTCTCCACAGGGGGTGGGAGCAGGAGTTGGTGGGGGGTCTGGCTTTGCCTTAACCACTCAGAACTCCATTGTCGTGCATGGGCCTCAGTTTCCCCACGGGATCTCTAGGCCAGCTCAGGGTCGTTGGCCTGAGGGTCCTAAGGAAATCCAGTTGCTCAGGATCCCAAAATAATTTAGGCCTGTGGCCTGGCTGCCTCCCAGGGGACCCACTTCCCAGCACGCCTCCACCATCCCCGCCCCATTCCCTTGGGGAAAAAAATATTTTTCTTTCGTTAAAACTTCCTGAAACTTCTGTGGGTACAGAAACCACAAACTGATTGGTAGACAAAAGGGAAGAGAAGGAGTTGAAACCGGAAACCATTTGGGGGCCAGTTCCCCTCCCTGTGCAGGTCTCTCCTGCCCCACACGGCTCAGTTCAGCCCACCTCAGCCTGGCTCAGCTCACTGCCTGCCTGTCCCGCAGCAGGGACCACCCCTACCCCCACCCCACAGGCATCTGGATGGGGCCCCTTCACCCTCAGCCTGGTGGCTCAGTCCTGCAAGGCAGGTGGGATCTGCCGCCTGATCCCACCCAGTTGCCCAGAGACCCTCGGTTGGCAGCACTGAACATGTTAAAAAAGAAAAAAAAGGCAAAAACACAGAAAAACCCAAAAACCCAGATAGGATGATGATGTGGGGAGACAGCATGCACGGGCGCCTCAGTAGCCGGCCTCCTCCTGGTAGTAGGGGGGATACTCCGGGGCCTCCCCAGGGCCTGAGCAGTCGCCAGCACCTGGTGGGGCCCCATCGGCCGCCGGGCCTTGTGGGCAGTACTTGGGATCATATATCTGCCGGCCCAGGCCAAAGACCTGGCCGCTCTGGTTGGCACCCTGTGTGTAACCCATCTGTAGGGACATGGAGGAGTTGTCACACTTGTCGGTCCCTAGCTTGGTGTCATAGATGTGCCGCCGGGTCCCAGGAGCTGTCATGCCCACCTGGAGAGGGAGGAGAGAGTGTGGTCAGGCTGGACAGAACAGGGGACCCTTCCTGAATTCCCACACCATTTCCCTCTGCCTCGCCTTTGCACTCGGTGTGTAACTCCAGAGGTCCCCCCAACCTTTGCTTGGACACCCCTCCTTTCTGATTCTATGCTGAGCGTGAACCTTCATTACCAGGGACCCTCTCCCCTGTTTCAGCCCTGACCACCTGGAACCAGGAATGTCTGGTTCCAGCTCTCTCCCTGCCAGCCAGGAAGCTCCTCCTGGTGGCGGCTGAGGCCTCCTGGGGGTCTGAGGTCTCCAGAACATTCACACTGATACGTTCCACATGGTAGAAAACCTGGGAATCGCAGGATCTAAAAACATCAGAATTGGGTGGACCTTTGGGCAATCCTTGAGGGAAACTGGGGCCCAGGGTGAGGCAGTGACTTCCCCAGGGACACACAGCAAGGTGAAACGAGAGCTGAGGCTGCAGAGACAGAGAGGGAGGAGGGAAACCCAGAGTGGGGTTTTCAGCAGGAGGTGCTCTTGCAGACAGGCTGAGGACAGGCGGGGATGGGCTGGAGGGACAGGGCAAGCCCACCTGGCTGGCACATTTGTTTGTGCCCATCTGCAGGCTGATGGTTGAGTGGTCCATGGGTGGCAGGATATGGTTCTTGGGGTCATAGAGATGCCGCCGCGTGCCGTACGCCGTCATGCCCGACTGGCTGGCACATTTGTTGGTGCCCATCTGCAGGGAGGCGGGCAGGAGAGGTCAGGCCCCGGCCCCCACTGGCCTTCAGCCCCTCCCCCAGACTTGAGGGGGTCTCAGGGCTCCAGGGGGTGGGTAACACGGGAACCCCCTGCCCTCCCCGCTGGGGGCCCCAGTGTCCACTCGCACCTGCAGCCCGATGATGCACTGGCCCGCCTTCATGGTGGCGTCATCGAAGTTCCGCTCCTGCTTCTCCGAGTACTTGACGCCGATGTCCACGCCGCTCTGCAGCCCCTTGGTCTTGGCCTGGCAGGGGGAGAAAGCAGGAGGATCAGAGATGGGCAGCCGGGGACCCCAAGTCCAGGCCAGGGGACTCTGTGCACCCATGACAGAGCTCCCGGCCACCCCCACCTTAGGCAACAGCAGATGCAACCTTCTGAGGCTCAGAACAAGTATTCTGGGGGTGTCCTCCCCTGTCCCCCTCTCCTCTTCCACCACCTCCTTCTATCCAGCCCCCTGGCCACCCTGGTCCTTCTCTCACCTGGACACCGGCCCCCAGCGCCCCCCTGGCCTGCACTCCCAACATGGCAGCCACAGGGGGGGTTTCTGAAAACCCCATTTGGAACACAATTCCCCAACATAAAAACCTCCTCCCTGTTCCTGTGACACTCCAACCCAGTCCCTTTTCCTTCTGTCTGATTCACTGTTCCAACCCACGAAGAACGTGGACACATCTGCAGCCATCTTGCCTGCTGTGTGACTCTGGGCAGGTTGCTGCCCGTCTCTGGGCCTCACCTTCCCCGCCAGGGCCAGAAGAGACACCTGCACCTGCGTCATGTTCCCACTCTCAAACAGGTCATTGGCCTCGAACAGGTCCACAGGGTTCATGCCGTAGCTGACCATGGCCTTGATGAAGTTGGAGAGGTTTTCTAGCTGGGAGGGGGCAGGAGAGGGACGGTGAGTGGACCTCAGTCTACCCATCTGCCAGGTGGGGTCCTAACTCTACCCCACCAGTCCCTCACCTGGTGCCAATTCTGCATGGAGCGGTTGATCTTGGGGACTGAGCCTGGCTGCAGTTTGTTCATGAGTCTGTGGGGGAGGGAACAGGAACCTCCGTTAGCACAGAGGAACCCCAAAGACCAGGGTCCTAATCTCAGCCACGCTCACGCCTTCCTGCAAACCTCTCCCTGAGCCTCAGCCTTCCCTCTTCTAAAGCAATTTTCACCCATCAAACAAGCAAAGCTGCCAAACTCCGACAACAGCCGGTGTTGGGAGTATAACCCGGAACCACTGATTTTGGGGAGCGAACCTGGGAGTTTCCATTAAAATGTTTAATGGGCAAAACCGCGGAATGTTTGAAGGATAGTTGAATAGGACGCAACAAGGAAAGGCCTCTGGAAACTTTATTCTCCCACAAAAGGGAGGGCGTAAGGTAAAGATGCTCCCTGTTAGAGATCCTTGACAAAGCAGTAAGACAAGAAAAAGAAAGATCCAAGACTCTGCAAGTGAAAAGTGGTGCTTCCAACAGTGTGTAGAGCGCAACCAGTCGGGGTGATAAAGCACGTGTCTGTATGTGTACTCACGTGCATAAGATAATCCCATCCTTCAGACCCTTCTGGAAGTCAGGGCCGATAGAGAGGCCAGTGAGACCCTCAATCCAGCTGCGGAGTTCGGCCTCCTTCTGAGGGTCATATTTGGACAGGAGCTGGTGAGGCAAAGGGCACAGGGCTGAGCTAGGGTGAGGGGACACCCAGAGAAAGCCCCCGAGGCTCCTAATGGGGTGGGGCCAATGACTCCAAGGCAAGAAGTCACAGAGGAGCCTGGAGGTCCCCACCCCATCCAAGCCCACCCTCCCCTTTCCCACCAGCAGGGACATCCCATCCTGTCCACAGCTCCTGGTGACCATGAATCCATGTCCTGTCTCTGTGGATCTGGACATTTCATACAAATGGAGTCTCACACTTTGTGTCCTTCTGTGTCTGGCATCTCTCACTGAGCACGATGTCCTCAAGGGCCACCCACATTGTAGCCTGTGTCAGAGCCTCATCTCTTTTCATGGCTGAGTAGTATTCCACCGTATACATTGCATGAATGGACCATGTTGTGTTTATCCACCAATCCTTGATGGACACTTAGGTTGTTTCCACCTTCTAACTGTTGTGAATATTGCTGTGGGTGAACATGGGTGTGCAAGTTTTGTTGGAACACCTGCTTTCAATTCTCCTGGGTGTGTACCTAGCAGAGGAATTGCTGGGCCATGTGGAAATTCTGTGTCTAACTTACTGAGGAATTGCCAAACCTTTCTGTGTCTCAAACCTGCCAGGCTAGTTCCTGCCTCAGGGCCTTTGCACATACTGCACTGTCACTGTGGCCTCAGATGTTTGCCTGGCTCTGTCCCTCCCTTTAGTCCAGCCACAGATCGAAGGTCACCTCCTTGGGGAGGACTTCCCTGACCACCCTGGCTATGATGGGCCTCCTCATATCCCTGTCTCTCTGACCTGACTTTTTCTTCTAGCCTTCCGCCTCTGTTACATGATGTATCTCCCTGCTTAAGGTCCAAGTCCCCTACATCCTGCTCGGTGCCGTCTCTGTGGTCACCGGGTAGCTGTATGAAAATGCTCAAGGTCCTCCGTGAGATCAGTGCCCACCACTGCCCAGGAGCACACACCTGCCTGTTCCCCACTGTAGCGTCTCAGAGCATCGAAGGCCAGGAAAGTGGGAATGGCTGGGCCCAGGGAGACCCAGGAGAGATGCGGGGAGATGGAGTCAGCCTGGGTCAGCTCCTGGATCCCCCCTTGCTCCCCATCCACCACCAGACTGCAGCTCTGGGCGTTTCTGCTGAAGAGCCCCCTGCCCGCCTCTGTGCCATGAGAAAGGGTGCCTTTCCCCAGGGGGGCAGCAGGGGGAGCAGACCCGACCCTGCCCCCAGCTCTGCGCCCACCTCCCTGCATGTCTGCCACCCTCAGTTTCCCCATCTCCCGTGGGTTAGGGTCTCCGGAGCTGCGCCCTCACTTCCTGGCTCCCGCCTGGGAACCCCGCAGCATAGAGGAGACAAAGGCGCCTGCTCTCCTGTCCCTAGTTCCCACGGCCTCTGGGGGGAGGGGCAGCCCTGCCCAGACGGTGGCTTTGTCCATCCTGAGGAATGAGAAAGGCATGCCGAGAGCCCTGCCGTGCCCAGCTGGGCCCTGTCCCTACCGGCTCCTGGGGCGGAGAGGCCAGCAGCCCCGGCAGCTTCCCCCCCACAATGCTGCGCAGCCGGCCCTCAGCACATTCCTGCACACCACAAACCGCCAGGAATGCGCGGCTGCCTCCCCTGCTAAATCGGGACCAGCTGCTCCCAGCGGGTCCTGACCCCCAGCGGGGATCACAGGGCCTTGGAATCTCAGAAAGGCACGCTGGACATGAGCCCGCCCCAGTGCCGTCCAGCCAGGGGTAAACTGAGGCATGGAGGGGAGGAGGAGGGAGGTCTCCGGGTCTCCCTTGTCTTAGGCAGTTGGTAACACAGGTGAGGGCGTGGGTAGAAGCCACAGGAAGCCGGTTTCCGATTGGGGTGTGACCCTTTAGCGGCCCTGGCAAGCTGGCCAGACGGGAGAACTGAGGCCCGGCCACAGGGAGCCCGCCGGGCTGTCCCTCGGGCCTCTCACCTCAGCCCCGCCAGGGCAGGTGGCAGCCTGCCTGCCCACCCACCCATCTCGTCTCCGGAAGCTGCCCCACCCTCGTGGAGCCCTGCCCTCTCCCACTTCCGCTGCTCCAGGTGTGGGGGTGCCCAGACTGCCCAGGGGAGCCAGGGGCCACAGGCACTGGATCCCACTGGTCCAGGTTCTAGTCTCGGCTCTGCCACTTGCAGGCTGTGCAGTTCTGGGCAGCTGCAACACCATCTCTGAGCCACACACGCATAGCAGGACCCCTAAAGTGCCTCTGTGCAGTTATAGGTGGGGCCAACATCCAGAGTGGGGCAGCACATTTAGCGGGGAGTCCAGAGCCTCTGGGCTCACTGGGGGACCCTGGCTTCCCCAAGCCGCGGGTTCCCCTTTTTCCACAGGGCTTGTCAGATGGGCTGGCTCCCAGGAACTCACAGGGGCGAGGCAGAAATTCTCCCCCACCCCATCTGTGGGCCCACCAGGGGCAGGTGCCTAGCAGGGGCTGGCAGGGCTGGTGCCCGTGCCCTTGGTGTGCCCGGGCAGGCATCCGGGCAGGAGCCGGTGGTGAGGCCACATTCCCAGGTGCCTGGTGGGTGTGGGGGGGGGATGGGCAGGATGACACCCTCTCCAGCTGGAAGGGCCCTAGCGTGTCAGGCCATGGACCTCCTCTCCCCAGGATGCCCCGGCCTCTGCTGTGTGACCCTTCAGAAGTGTCTGCCCCTCTCTGAGCCAGAATCATAAGTGGTTTCTTAAAGTGTCTCCTCCTGGTCCCATTTCATGCTTCCAGGTTACAAAACCCATTTTTAGGGCCACCTTCAGGGAACCCCCTTGGTGTCCCTTTAAATTTATCAGCTAGGGAGGAGGAGAATGCAGAAGGGAATTAGCTGCCTAAGTGGAGCCCCCCTCAGGTGTAAGAGAGGCGGGGAAATTCCCGTGGGGGGGCCCACACCCTTCTCAAAAAACCACCGGGGGCCCCCCTTCCCCTCCTGAATCTTAAGTGGCCAAAAAAGAAGTGTGGCCAGGAGACGAGCAGGGGCTGCGGGGTCCCCCAGGCCCCCCAAGGCATTCTTCGGCCTTGAAGCCTTCAAGGGGCCCCGGCCTGGGCGGGGGGAGTCTGGGGGCAGGGCTGGGGAAGGTTAGGCACAGCTGCCCCTAGATGCTGGGGAGATGGGTGGGTCACTCCCCTCAGATGTCAGTGCTCACTGCTCCCTAGACTTGGGGAGCCCCAGGGAGCGCCCCCCAGACCACCCAGAAGCCAGGGAGAGGTCACCCTTGTCCCAGGTGTGAACGCACTGCGCGCTCGTCGTGGGGGAGCCCAGCGGGGCGCCCACCCTTGTCGCCTGCACCGAACGCGCGACGGCCGCGACCGCGGGGCCCCGGGGCGCGCCCCCCACTCACCCGGTTCTTGACCTCGGCCGAAAGCCCGTACGAGGGCCCCTTGTTGAACTGCGTGGAGCTCATGGCTGGCGGGAGCGGCGGGGCGCGCGGGCCGGGACGGGGCGGACGCGGGCGGGGACCGCGGGCCTGGCTGGGGAGCCCCGCCCCCCGCCGCCGATTGGCCCGGAGCGCTAATGTCCTTATAAGGCCTGGAAGCGCCGAATTCCTGCGGTCGCACACTTCCTGATCCCCCTCGGTCGCCCCCGGACCCCCATCCCCAGCGGCTGGGAGGGGCTCCTGGAACTCTCTGAAACAACGGGAAACTGAGGCAGGGAGCGGCAGGGGCTCCGGACTGCCGAGACACAGCATCCCTGCCCTCTCCCTGCTGGGAGCTGCCAGGCGGCTCTGTCACACTTTCTGGGTCTCCGTGTATCCTTCGGCACGATGGTGGGAGAGGGGGAATTGAGGGGTGGGCCCTGGAGTCCCTTTGGGGCACGAATGAGAGCCCCTGTCTGCCTCTTACAGGTGCGTCCCAGTCTAGCCCCCTCCCAGGAACTCTGATAGCTGGGGATGGACAAGGGAACCAGGGCAGGCTCCTCAGAGGAGAGGGGTCGTTGGAGCTGGGGCTTTAATGGGTGGGTAGGAGTTCACCAGTCCAAAAGCGAATGGTGTTCCTGGTAGAACAAAAGGTACAAAGATCTGGAGGACTGACTGTCAGAGGTTGAAAGCTTGTAGAGATCAGAGCAGTTGGAGAATGGGGCAGTGTATGAGAAAGGGCTTTGAACTGGGGGCTGAGGGCCACTGGGGAATCGGGGAGGTGGGGAAGGGGTGAAACAGCAGAGAAGTGAGGTCAGGAGATGCCCCAGGGGCAGGGCTGAGGCTGCCAAGCACAGCAGGCTGGGCACACAGTTGGCATTCCATAGGCGGTATCTGCCACTGGAGCTGGGGCTTTGATGGGTGGGTAGGAGTTCACCAGTCCGAAAGGGAATGGTGAACTCCTTACAGATAAATCAATAAATTAATAAGTGAATAGCCAGATAAGTGGATTCATTTATCCAGTAATTCACTCACTTATTTGTTCATGCATGCACATGTTTAATCATCAAAAGCTGCCTGCCATGTCTTCTGGGACAGTCTGGTGCTAGGAGATGCCCACACCTGGGAAGACAGAGCCAGGCACCCCCTCCCCTTCCCCACGTAAATAGGTGCAGGGCAGAAGGAGGCGCTTGGGGCTAGAGGAACTAGGGGGTCCAAGAAAGCTGCATGTAAAAGCGGATGGGGGCGAAGGGGTTTTGAAGCGTGAGTCGGAGTTTGACACATTGGACAAGTGGCTGGCTGGGCTCTGCGAGGGCTCACGGATGACTCACCCCTGTCCCTTCCCTGGGGCACATTCCTCCCCGATGCCCTGCTCCCCGGATGTCTGTTTCTTTGCCTGACATTGTCCCCTTCCATCTGCCTGAAGGCTCCTTTCTTCAGGGTTCAAGTCCTCCCGGCGGTTTTGGGTAAACCCTTTCCCCTCCGGCTCGGTTTCATCATCTCTGGAATGGGGACCAGTGAACAGTGACAATGAGACAGTCCGGCCCTGAGCGTGGGAACAGTGTGGTTTAGGGGTGTCCGGGCGGAGAGCTGCGGGGTCGGCGGGGTGTGGGTGGTTTGGGTGGATCCTCTGCGGGTCCCGCAGGTGCGCAGGCACCGGGGGCGCTGGAGGCCGGTGGCGGCAGGAATGTGGCTGGTCCAGTCCCCCGGGCGCCCCTCCAGCCTGTGGGGATTGGTGGATGTGGGCGCCATGTTCCTGGGTCGCCTCACCATGCTGTGGCCCAGGGGGGCCCCCAGCAACCCTCGGGGGACACTGTCCTGAGCTGGGGGGTCTCTGGGACAGGGAGGTTGCATGTGAGGCCGTCTCCTGGGCACTGGGTCCCCCCACAGTGTCTTACGGGGTCTGAGGGGGAGCTGGCTGGGGGCCTCCAAGGGTCAGACAGGAGCTGAACCACAGACACAGCAGACCAGGACCCCGGGGACCTCCAAACTCTAGAAGAACCCGCCCGCCACCGGGCACGCAGCCCAGGGGTCTGAAGTGTGGCTGGTGCCACCAGAGAAGCAACTACTCCATTGTCTTTAATTCCAATGAATTTCAATGACAAATTTAAAACTGACAGCGGATTCAGTTTTTGGAAAACTTTCATGTATATTTAGAACAGTTTGGTTATGTGTGGATGTTCCTTTTCAGTGTGACCTTTGAGAAGTCTAAACGCTGTACGGGTGAGTGTTTCGGAGGGGACGTTAGCACCAAGGTTGAGATGCTCTGGGAGCGGGAGACACACACCTGATTCCAGAGACTCGGTACCCAAAAATTTGTAAAATAGTTCATTCATAATTTTCCATATTAATTACGTGTTGAAATGGAAATTGCTTGACTATATTGAGTTCCATAAAATACAGTATTAAAGTGAATGTCACTTTGTTTTCTTTTAGTTCTTTTAATGTGGCTGCCAGGAAAACTTAAAAAATTATATAGGTAGCTTGCCTTCTGTTCCTGTTGGATAGCTGTGTTCTTTTCTTTTTTCTTTCTTTCTATTTCAATATCGTTTCTCTAGGACCTATTCCCCCACAGGCCGGGCACAGCTGTGCTCTCGACCCATGGCCAAATCCAGCCACTGCCTATTTTTGTAAGGCCTGGGAGCTAAGAATGGGTTTCACGTTTTTTAAGTGGTTAAAATGAAAAAAATAAAAAAAGGAAAAATATTCCATGACATGTGGAAATTACATAACATTCCACCGGCAGTCACATAGACAAAGGTTTATTCACGATGCCCGTTCATTTACGTGTCATTTACGCTTTTTCCCTACAGTGCCACAGTCGAGTCATCGTCAACGAAGCTGAAAATATAGACTGGCTTTTTACAGAAAAAGTTTACTGACCCCAGCTCTCAATGCTCAGTATCCCAGAGCCCAAGAGATCAAGACTCAGACATCCCAGAATTGGAAATCCTGGGGAACCTTAGAATAATATAATTCTGGAAACCCAAGAACCTCAAATTTATGGACTGACCTCAACACTCCCAACACCCCACTTTAGAACTTGGGTTTGAATCTCAGCTCCCAAAATGGCTGTGTGACCTTACGCAATTCCTCCACCTCTCTGTGCCTAAGTCATTGTCTGTAACACGGGGCTGATAAGCTGCCACTCCCGGGGCTCTTGTCCACATGAAATGGATTAATATCTGTGAAGTGCTCGGAGGGCGCCAGCGTAGAGCTAAGGGCTTGTTGAGTCAATAGATGTCAAAATCTTCGGAATTTGGCATCAGCTGCGGGAATCTGGCAAGGCCCTGAGGACTCCTCGCCTTTCTCTCCAAAGGGAGGTCTGGGCCTCTGCAGCTGCCCTTCCCCGGACACTCACCGGTTTGTCCAGGACGGACCCCTGGGGAGACTTAGGCAGCTGTGGCAGGATGCAGGGTTTGGAGGGGGCCGAGTGCAGATGCTGTGGGGCGTTACTGCACCGGGCAGGGCCTTGGGTGCTGGGCTGGGAGGCCCAGCTGGGGAGTCTTGGTGGCAGAGCATAGGGAGTTGCAGGTGTGGCAAAGGCCCTGGGGCAGGTGGCCCCTTCACTGCAACCACCTCCTGCTCCATCCCATCCTTGTAGTGTCTGGGTTCTGAGTGGGTCCCCAGGGTCAGGGCAGCACCTAGGCTGGGTCCCCTGGCGGGGGCTTTGGGCACCCCCTCGCAGGCTTCAGACGCTCTCTTTGTTTTCCACCGTTCTGCTCACCTCAACCCGGCTTGCTCCTGATGCGTCCCCTGGAGGACACCTGTGGGGGGAACACGCACAACATGTGGACAACAAAACAGGAATAGCAATAAAAAATCAAAAATGGCCAGGTGCAGTGGCTCACACCTGTAATCCCAGTGCTTTGGGAGGCCGAGGCTGGAGCAAAACTCAGACCACCTTGAGCAAGAGGGAGACCCTGTCTCTAATAAAAATAGAAAAAATTAGCCAGGCACGGTGGCACACACCTGTAGTCCCAGCTACTTGGGAGTCTGAGGCAGAAGGATCACTTGAGCCCAGGAGTTGGAGGCTGCAGTGAGCTGTGATGACGCCCCTGCACTCCAGCCTGGGTGACAGAGCCAGACCCTGTCTCAAAAAAAAAAGATAGTGACAATAAAATCTCCACTCGAGGTAGCGTTGAACTCCAGAGCTGGTGCAGGAACCTCCTGTGTTCCCAGTCTGCCCAGGGCTCCCCATTAATCCCTCAACAAAGATGTCCCCCAGGCCCTGTGTGACCTGCGCTCACCCCCAGCTCTGGCATTATCTCAGCCCATGTTCTCCCTGGCACCCTCTGCTCCGGGCACACAGACCTTCTCCTCACTGTTCCTCAAACGGTTAGACCCAGGCGGCGACAGGGCCTTTCCCCTGGCTGTCTGTCTGCCTGGAAAACCCTCCCACCTGGCTTGTACACTGTCCTCCTTCCCACCCCTGCTGGAGGGTCACCTTCTTGGGGAGGCTCCTGGAGCCCCCGTGTAATTCTCAACCTGCCCGTCGCGGGCTCCTCATCCCAGACAAGACGACACCGCAGCATCCTTCCATGTCCAGCCCACCTGCCAGCGTCCCCGACTGTGTCCAAAAGCTCAGGCGTTGTGTTCTGCCATTCTCCCTCCATCGCTCTTCCCTTTTGGTTTAGACTTGGAACTGTCCCTGCCAGTCCCAGGAGGGGCACTTTCTGAGCAGGCCAGGCAGTTGTCCTGCAGCTGGCCACATATTTTGGGGTTGTGATTGAACTTGCTCCTGTGGGCCCCATGTCTCCATTCCGTGGGAGGGAGCTGCAGGGCTGAGCTGCCTGAAATAGCAGCCGCTGGCCACATGTGGCTATTTCAACATAAATTAATTTTAAAAAGAGTTAAGTTTAAAATTCTGTTCCTTAGTGGCACTGGCCACATTTCGTGTGCCCAGGGTCCTCCTGTGGCTAACATTGGACCTCGCTGGACAGAGACTTGGTTGGCCTTCCCAGGAAGAGCCAGGGGCTCCCCTCTGCCTCCGGGCAGAGGCCCCCAAAGCCCCCCTACCGCGAGGCCAGGTTTGCCCTCTGCTCAGGGTGACATGGCCTGGCCCCTAATTTTTTTCTCTGCGCAACAGCTGACCTGAAGGGTGGGTAGGGGGGC